GGGCAGTAAAACATGAAAAAATTAAACTTAGAAAATTGTAGGGAATTTATTAGATAAGCATCGAAAATTGTACATGAATGGAACGTTCATTTAGAAATTTTTAGCGGTCCTAAAGCAAAATAAAATTCTAGGCAATATGTGCTTCTCCAAACAGATATTTTACAGAAAAACGGTCGTTAATGACTACTATGGTATAGCTGTGCAATTAAGAACCCCATGTTAAATACGGTGCAGTACACTTGGTCTCACAATGGGGGTACCAAATGACGTTCTCAAAAACAAACTGACCTTTTTGATCAGTTTACAGCACCTCCGAGTTTCTAATCCAAACTACCCTATGATAAAATTCTCGCAAAACATTTTCTAACAGCATATTCTGACTACTAAAACCCTAACAAAAAAGACTGATTTATACTACTGACTTTGTCCTACACCATTTTCGTGCTAGGAGCCTATAAATCTAACGAATCGGCGAATCACGCCCCTCACTTCTCTTGGAAGTGCAATACAGTTATGGCTATCGTAATAGGGTTTTTGTGTTAGGCTATTTAAGTAGAAGAATCCAAACATTTTATCACTGTAAATTTCTTATTATAAGCTGTAGCTTCATCCCAATTAACAGATTAGTGTAAAGGTATCAATATTCACTTGCTGGAGCAGAGGTTGTATTTTTGCCTTTCTTAATTTACTGTCCCACAGAGCAAGACCAACGGTCATGAAATACTTCAAGAAAATATGTTCAAACTAGTACCTTTTTTGGATGCCGCAGGCCAAAGATTTAATTTAAAGATTCGTGAAACCTGCGATGGGCCGGGCCGAATTTCAAAGGCAAACCCTTAACCAATATTCCCTAACCGTTGGGTATAAAGACTACTCAGAAAAGTAAATCACTGGACGAATTAAGGAAATTAGCTCATCGTTCCAATTTAGTTATCCTGATTAGACATTTTCTAGAGAAAGATCAAGTTCTTAAAAAGAAAATGTCAATTATATTATCATAGGGCAATTGGTACTAACTTAAGATGCCTGTTTCAATATAAGTGATATTGTTAAGCTCTGGATATTTCTCAATTCCCAATGTTGAAAACTGCCCATCTTTCAGCTTTCCGTTGAGCGTCCTCAATTCGGTGGCTGGTAGTTAGTTAACTATCATGTCAGCCTTCCTCGTGTGCCTTGGCTCGACTTTGTTAGTGAGTCCAATTATCATAACAAATTCGAATAAAGCTATCCTTGATTTCCTTATCATGACGTTATTTTTAGCCAAACGCGTTCGCTGCTGTCGCCGTCGTGCTTGCTTATAAAGTTCTTTCAGATCTCTCAGTTTGTATGAATCTGTGATTGGTCGCTTCAAAGGTTCATACTCTTCTGTATGTTCGATTGCGTTTTTTTCTCGCACTCCCAGACTAATATAATAATGAGAAATATCCTATCTATTCTTAGTCCATACTACAAGTTAAGAAAAATTTCTTTTTTTATTCTTCGAACTCGCGCCTTAAATGCAATCGGCAAATCCTTGTCCGTTTTTGTAGAACAATCTTTGAACTTATATCTCCTGCTGGAAAATTTTGATACTACCTTATCTTAGAAAGTGTTTCTTGCAGTTTTAATGGTCATGCCGATCATTTTTGGGTCAAATATTGGAACTTTTAGCATGATTACAAATATACTAAAGAGGTTATGTCATCTTTTCTCTTCTTCTAAGTATACTCTTTAACGTTCCTGTGGAATTTCCTTCGATATTTAAAATAATAACCGCATAAACAAACCTGTCATTTTCTGTTTCAGCTGAAACGGAGGATAAGTGAAGAGAGATCAGGCTGATTAGGCATGTGTGCTTTGATAGGGACTTAAAAGATCCAACGACGCGGACGGCACTCCAAACTGACATTTCCCTGCCCTCACCGTTCTCGGATCTTAAGGTTCTTTCGAGGATCAGTTTAGAAAATAGCAGAAATATATTGAGAGGATCACGTAGGATGCTAATTACATATATGTTGCCATAAGTTATTTTTTTTCTATATATGTCCAGCTGGCAATATTTTGAAACAAACCTAACGAAATTTGTCGTCATTTGGAGTGAAAAGGCGTCAATAGGTATGTTTCTTTGGATAAGGCCCAAAATCACACTAACGAAGGAAAAGGAAATGAGAAAAAAAAGCAATGGTCGCACTAGTAGTCCATTTACTATGAACGGTGGGGTTCTGACTCTTGCAATGGCCCAGCTTCGGAAGCCGGTACAGCAAAAACACCTGAACACTACCCCACCCTTGTGACAATCTTGTATAGTCTGTCCTGGCGTTTCCGCTGACCGCTTAGCCCACGGTCTGTAAGCAAGAAGTTGCCCCTGAACGCTATGGCAGGTGAACGGCAAATTATACGTGCGCTCTGTGGTTTGATCGAGACATTTGACAAAGACGTCACAATAGTTTAGCTCTAAATCGAATTTCTGCCCTTATAGGCATTTTCTTTGGAAATGCTTTAAGCTACGTATACTTTGGGTGCTTGTCTTCTATTCAGCGAAGTTTCACAAAAATGTGTATGAGGAATTTCGAGGTATCTTTGAATTTCTACAAAAAGGGTATAAATTATGCATGAACGGAAGGCTGGACTTAATGCAGACAACTTTGCAACTTTCTGGATGCTTCCGAAAGGTTTTTAACACTCACTCGTTTTGCAAATGACCTTTATACACTAGTTACACTCTATAACCGGCTAAACGCAAAAAGACTTGCGCGATTTCGAAAAAACATGAAAACATGTGAATCAGTCAAACGCAATGCTGAGCTCTTTTTGTAATTTTTAAGGCTACTTTCACGAATCAGCGGTTAAACCAAAATTCGTCGATAGATTTTCTTTAAACAATTTCAGCGCTGCAATTAATTAGTGTACTACAAAATCCCCGTGAATTTCGTGTCCATTGAAAACTTAAAGTTGTCTAACGTAGGCGCAAAATTGAGCAAATACTGAAGACATATCATAGATCTGGCTAAGTTTTTGCTTTGGAATTTCCTATTGTCTCGAGTTTAGCACAACATCAAATACCCATACAGCACGCGAGAATTTTCCATGCTTGGTTGCCCTCCGTAATCTACTCGCTATTGTTTACTCCTTTTCTGCAGCACTACCATATTTTGGAAAGATTTCAGAGGGCAACCAGGAACGGTAAATTCTCGCCTGCTGCAATAGCAGACGAACAATTACCAATAAAGCGGCATACAGGTCCATTTTTCTGATTCCATCTCCACACGCATACCGTGGGAGAACTGTTTTGCGGTTCCCAACCAACAGCTACCACTTCTCTACGGTCGAGCGGGCGAATAGACCAGTGCTTTTGCACTCTTCTCGGTAGTAACTGCCGGGGTGGATGGTCGCAAGGGAGACTTCTCGTCTCGAAGTCTCGAGACCTCTCGCCATGCTGATGAGTCCTAATTAGGAAGAAACAGCTATTCATTGATACCACTACTTGGGTGATATGGCCGTGCGCATACGTAAGGTAGTGGCCGTACCGCAGGGTTGGTACGTGTGCTTGGGGTGTGCTTCAGTGCTCAAATTAGTATTGTTGACAAAAAATTACGCTGGAGTTAAGACCGGGTACATCGGCCGGGGCCTTCGTTGTTTTCGAGGGATTTGCAGTAGATAGCCTGCAAGATAAAGCGGATCCTGCTTTGTTCTACTACCAAGGAGAAAGGAACTGATTACAACCGCCCCTGGTTAGCTCAATTGCATAAACGCCGGTATGGGTAGCGGATGGCTTAAGTTTGAACCCCCGGTCGGAACAACACGCAGGGTCTTTTTGAGGTAACACTTTCTCCTAAGTCAATTGAGTTTACACAAGAGCCATAATGAGATGCTCTTGGCTTACAAATGTAATGAAATTTCTTATCAGGACAATTAACCCGTAGGTACCGTCTCAGAACACTTGCAAGCAAGCTCATATGAAATTCCTTGGGATGTTAGAATCTAATCACTACCCGTAAATAGTAGAGGACGTTGTCCACTCGCAGGCCTCGCTGGATTAGCTTGAAAGGCTTCTGAGCGAATAAGACTACAACACGGCACATACGGAAAGGAAAAATTTTTTGGCCGGGAGCTGGACCAGTCATAAATAAATTCAGGAATGAACCATTATAGGAAGTACCTTTTACCAACCCCTGGGGCAACAATGGACTCATAATACTCAAAAAGGTGTTTTATTGATGTAATAAAACTTACACTGAAAGTGAGGGTATAAGATGTTTTCATTGTAACTACAAATGCCGAATCAGAAGGGTACTTCAGTTATCTATAGAGCTGTATTTCTCCAACGACACAAGAACTATTAAGTACAATTAAGAGTTAATTCATGTTTCGAAAAAAGGTTGGGCCATTTTAAAATGTCTAAACTTATACTCACGAAAATACACCCGCAAATAGGGACCAAGTGGTTTATCAACCTCCTGGCAGAAATTTGCGATTTTAATACCCAAAAATACAAGAAGCTATTTTGCCAGACTTCAAAAAAGTAGGTTCTTATTTGCGGGTTTTTACTTTATTTTACTTCTCTAAGCAACCATCACAATTTATTATATTAAAATACAAAAGACAATTACTGGGTTTAGAGATTATATAGGAAGGCTAAGCAATTACCACTACGATTTGATCTGAAACGCTATTTCTTGATTGGCTATTGCCTAAACATCCTGGGATCTCTACATATTGAATTTAATCTACTTTAAAAGTTTTATGTAATTTATTCGTGTGACCAGTGGTCGCCCAAAGCTAGCCATGAAAAACCAGCATGATAACTGAAAAAATTGTAACAAAAATTTCGATAAAATTCACTATTAAAAGTGTGGACTTTACAACTTTTCAAATTATGTACATAACTGTGACCTACGCTAAATAAAAGTCAAAAACAAGATCATTTTGCCCTTATCAGTGTTTGATCAGGGTTCTGTACGTGTCAGACCCAAATAATTTCCCCTTAGCTTGTAACTGTCAGAAGAGTTTTCTTTTTCACTTTAGTCCCCCCGATTTCTACGGCTGCAGAAATGTCGTTTAAGTCCACCCACTTTTTTAAACACACGATCATATGGCTCCAATGATCGTGTCCATTTTGGTAGCCATTTCCAATCTTGGAGGGCCTCTGGCAAAACTTCTGAGGCTTTCCTCTGAAGGATGTTGACAATGATGATGAACAGCAAGAGAAGAACAATCGGGACTGCCACACCAACCAGGATTTGCCAACCAGCCAGTGACAAGCCAAATATAGCTGCAGGAAGGAGGAAGAAACAAAAAATCAGGTAAGCCAAGGCAAACCAACGGTACTCTGCAGTTTTGTTGCCCAGGAATTTTGCCGTGTTGATAGGTAATTTGCGAACGTAAGGAATGGGATACCACAATACGATACCAGAAATATTAAAGAACAGATGGCACAAGGCAATCTGGAGGGCTTTGTCCAAGTTTGACGTACTTGCCAGGGCTGCCAGAATGCCCGTTGCAGTTGTTCCGATGTTTGCACCCAAAGTGAGGGGAAAGGCGCGCTCAAGAGACACCACTCCGACACCGATAAGAGGCGTAAGGGCAGAGGTGAAGATGGAACTGGACTGAACCAACATTGTTAACCCAGCACCAACCAAGATGGCAAAGTAACCAGTGAAATACTTGAACGGCCCTGGGAAGTCTGCGTTGACGGTCTTCTTGATGATCTTGGCCATCTTACCACGGAGCATGGAATGAAGGATTTTGACGATTAGTATAAGGCAGACACAAAGAAGAGCGATAGCTATAACCAGGATTATGACACCAACTTCTGTGTCACTCAGTGGAGTGTCTGCAAAAAGAAACTTGCACTTGGCTGGTGTTTCTTTTGTCTCATTTACCAGCACATAAGTGAAATAAGTTGAGTTACTGAAAGTCTTATTAACTTCTTCAATAGTTACTTTAGGTTCGCAATTTTTGATCAAGGACTTTGAATCAGCCGATTTGTCCCCAAGGGCAATCTTCTTTATAATGTTCTTGTCTAACTGGATGATCATCTTGGTGAATGGCTGGGTGACAGTCTTGAGCAGCTTCTTGTTGGTTCCTTTAGCCTGTTTCAAATCAAGAACTTCAATGATCTCTCCTGTCAATCGACGCAGGTACCCAGTAATGACCTCCATTGGCAAGAACACAATGACTGACAACCAGTTGAATATATCGTGTACAACGGCTCCAGCAAAGGCACGACGGAATTCATTTCGCTCGGCAGCTTGAGCTAAGGAGACAATGGTGTTGGTGACTGATGTTCCAATGTTCGCTCCCATTACCATTGGAATGGCAGGCTTAACATCCACAACTGAAAGGTAAAGTTCTCTGTTAATCTCTCACTATTCATAAATACACTCGAAAACAGAGGAAGGCCTAGCTCCGGCCCTAGCTCAAGGATGGAAATTCTACTGAGCGATTCAGGCTATTTAGGAGTCAAAAATGTAATAAGACAAGGAATCACAAGGCCGTTCCTTTGCTTCATTCTAATTCCATTCAGTTTATCCCCTCTTGTGAAAGGTCTACTAAAATCCGTTGCATTCAAAACAACTTGTGCGAAAATAACTGGGTCTATTGAATGAGATGTCCAGAGCCGTCGAGGAAACTCTTTGGAGTGCAGTAGTGTTTACCATTTGTACAAATCAGTTTCATTTACTGAGAAACGGTCACGAAAGCCTGAAACTGGTATCAAAGATGGGCCATAATAAATGGCACGCGAATTTCCGCTAGGAGCATACCGTACCGTTGTTTCCGGAAGTTGTGCGCAACAACGACCCGAAAAGCCGTGTTCCATTTACTTTTCAACCTGATTTTCCTCACACTTTTTGTAAATGGTAAACAACAACTTCTTTCATTATTATAATGTTGCGCAGGAAACTGCGTCAAAATTCTTCCCCCAAAACAGTGCCACACTGCAATTCGACACGACAAAACACAGGGGGTACCCTACGACCGTTTTCTGAAAAATATATTTTCGGAGAATCAAATATTGCCTAGAATTTTCTATTTCTTTAAGACGGCTAAAAATTTCTAGATGAATGCCCCATTCATGTACAATTTTCGAAGCTTATCTAATAAATTCCCCACGATTTTCTGAAGTTTAATATTTCACTTTTCACACTCTGGGTTAGGTTATTTTTCGTAAGAAAAAGGAAACCTAAAATTTTCGGATTCAAAAAAAATGATGGAGAGAGGAATTAAAACATTTTTCACTTTCTTAATGCGCTAAATTGCATCTAAAATTTTCGGCAAAATAACTGACTTTAGCCCTCGTAATTTCGAAAAGACTCAAGTCCCCTAGGATGACCGAACAGATACAAATGTTATAGCGCCGCTTAGAAAGCATTTCTAGAGGTCTAAAAATACTCTGGATAGCCTAAAAATTGTTTTCAATGCATTTGGGAGGAAACCGCAGTTGGGTGCCCCTGACAACACAGACATCACATTCAACGCAAAACTGCCCCAGTCTCAAGCGGAAGTTTAAAATAGCTAATTCATGAGCGAGCTGGTGCGCGCGTTGTATTCCCTGTATATTTCCTCTATGTTTGATTATGGAAATTAGAAGAAGATTGGGAAGTAGAAAGTGAAGTCCATGGACTAGGTATGAGGCGAAATAATTGGGGATATTCTTTTTTCTGGTTGTTGTCATTTGTTACTTTAAAATCTTTAACCTTCTCCTCACAATGCGTTAATTTTAAAAATGCTAAACATTTTGATCAGCCCTATGTGTGACCATTCGACACGCCGAAACGTTATGGCAATGACAGTTAACTCAAGCAAATATCTTCCAAAAACTTGAAACAATATTTTTGTAAACCCAAAACGACTTACTCTCGGCAGCCACCATCGAGACCACGATGGAAGTTGTAGTGGACGAGCTCTGAACAAGAACAGTTGCCAAGATGCCAATCATAAGGCCAGCTACAGGGTTGCTGAGAATGTCATTCGAAGCGAAGGCCTCGCCAGCGGCTTTTCCTCCCAACAGGCGAAAGGCACTGCTTAGGAAATCCAACGAACAGATGAACAAGTACAGAAAACCAAGGAGTAGGACAATCTTCGTAAACGCCAAAGCTACACGAAGAAACTTTCCCAACCTGTCGAGCTCTGTCGTTGAGCAAACAGAAAGATTCGGTCACTCAATCATAAGTCCAGTGGAAGGTCAAGGGGAGGGGCCCGGGGGGCCCGCCCCCTTATCTAAGGGTCTGGATGACCGCCCCCACCCCCCACCCCTGTGATTGGAAGTGATCGAGGCTATACTTTGAAATTGTTACATCGGCATTGCAAAGAAAATATTATTCTGGTTTGCATTATGTATTAGTTGTCGTTCTCTGTACGTAACACTGATATTTTGCTAGTTGATTCGAGTTTCTTGCTTAATGATAAGAAAGTAAGCACCAAAAAGAGGGAAAATAACGCCAAAAACAACAGTTTATTCAGGTATTTCTATTTATATACACGGTATTTCCGTTTTTCTTCTTTTTCTCCTTTTTCTTCAATTTTTCTTTCCTTTTCTCGTTTTTTCATAGTTTTCAGAAATATATCCCTTGACTTCATTTGAATAAGCCGCAACTGAGCTGCTTTAAAATACTTTGCCTTTCCTAATACTGATACTACAACTGAAAACTTAATTTCCTGTTATTTGACCACTTTTTGATCGATGGTCGACAGAAGTCATCGCATTACTTTTATGATATCACGTACTAGTTCCAGCATTTCCGTTTTCAATGAAGTTCCGTTAGTGCTGAGGCGTTTAAGTTTGCACGAATTTCTAGAATCCTGTTATTGTGCTTTGAAAATTGTTGACACAAATTTCCTACGATTAAAAGCCTACGGGATTTTGAAGACGAAAATTTCCCCCTATCATAAGCCCCACAAAAGAGGCCTTTGAAACAGATGATTATATTTATTTATTTATTAACTCATTATTACTTTTTAAACCTGTAAAAACCCGCGAGAGTCATTTTCGGAATGTTTGTAGTATGACGAAGTTAGACGAAGAATACAACCAGACACGATACTTACCAGACCATTTTGGTCCAAAATCCTGAAGTTCGGGCAGAGCCCAAGGATCAAAATCTTCCTCATTCTGATTTCCTTTCCATCCGGGTTTATTTCCTGCATTTTCTCCGGTGTCTGCTAGATACCCTTCGTTTTCGTTCTGCAAAAAGTCACTTTTGGAAGTCAGAAATGTTTCCAACAAGTCACAAAAAAGTGAAAAATGGCCAAAGAGAATATAGAACCTACTGCATGGTAATGTCCGTTGCGATTTGCCATTTCCACGTCTCCATGTTTGGACGAACCTCTCGTGAAGTCCGCCATGGTGCTAATGACGAGATTTGGAAGATTCTTCGAATATAAAAAATAAGGAACAAAGGAATGAGTTGACAGGGCAAACACATAGAAGCCGCCTCTATTGTTCTGCGTCGTCAAGATGTGGTTTTT